ACTGTCATTTGTTTCTAGAAATTTTTTTATTTCTTCAGTAACCTGTTGGTTATTTAGAAATGTATTGTTTAATCTCCATGCGTTTGTGCTTCTTAGAGTTTTTGTTTTTGTTTTTTTCTTGTAACTGATATCTAGTCTCATAGCATTGTGGTCAGAGAAAATGCTTGATACGATTTCAATTTTCTTAAATTTACTGGGGTTTGATTTGTGACACGAGGTGTGGCCTATCCTGAAGAATGTTCCATGTGCACTTGAGACGGTGAATTCTTCTGCATTTGGATGGCATGTCCTCAAGATATCAATGAGATCCATCTCATATAATGTATCATTTAAGACTTGTGTTTCCTTATTAATTTTCTGTTTTGATGATCTGTCCATTGATGTGAGTGGAGGTTTAAATCTCCTACTATGATTGTGTTACTGTCAACTTCTCCTTTTATGTCTGTTAGCGGTTGTCTTATGTATTGAGGTGCTCCCATGTTGGGTGCACAGATATTTACAATTGTTATGTCTTCCTCTTGGATTGATCCCTTGATCATTATGTAGTAACCTTCCTTATCTCTTGTAATCTTCTTTAAGGTCTACTTTGTCTGGTATGAGGATTACTACTTCAGCTTTCTTTTGCTTCTCACTTGCATGAAACATTTTTCCATCCTCTCACTTTCAGTCTATATGTGTTCTTGGGGCTGAAGTGGGTTTTTTGTAGACAGCACATATATGGGTCTCATTTTTGGATCCATTCAGCCAGTCTGTGTCTTTTGGTTGGAACATTGAATCCATTTAAAGTAATTATTGATAAATATGTTCCTATTGCCAGTTTCTTAATTGTTTGGGGTTGATTTTGTAGATCTTTTTTCTTCTGTTGTATTTCTTGACTATATAAGGCCGTTCAACACTTGCTGTAAAGCTGGTTTGGTGGTACTGAATTCTCTCAACTTTTGCCTGTCTGAAAAGCTTTTGATTTCTCCATCAGTTTTGAATGAGACCCTTACTGGGTACAGTAATCTTGCCTGCAGATTTTTCCCTTTCAGTACTTTAAATATATCAGTACTTTAAATATATCCTTAAATATATCCTTTAAATATATCCAGTACTTTAAATATACTTTAAATATACCTTCTGGCCTGCAGAGTTTCTGCTGAAAGATCTGTGTTACTTGCTGATTCTCCCTTGCTGCTTTTCTTTCTTTGTGTTTACTCTTTGTTAGCTTGATTAATAGGTGTCTTGGCATGTTTCTCCTTGGATTTATCCTGTATGGGACTCTTTGTGCCTCTTGGACTTGATTGATTGTTTTCCTTTACCATGTTCAGGAAATTTTCAACTATAATCTCTTCAAAAATTTTTCATATCATTTTTCTTCTTTTTCTGGAACCCCTATAATTTGAACGTTGCGTTTGATATTGTCCCAGAGGTCTCTGCGACTATCCTCAGTTCTTTTCATTCTTTTTACTTTATTCTGCTCTTCAGAAGTTATTTCCACTATTTTCTCTTCCAGCTCATGGATTCATTCTTCTGCTTCAGATATTGATTCCTTCTAGAGTACTTTTAATTTCAGTATTTGTGTTGTTTGTCTCTGTATGTTTATTCTTCAATTCTTCTAGGTCTTTGTTAATTGATTCTGGCATTTTCTCAATTTTGTTTTCAAGGTTTTTTATCATCTTTACTATCATTATTCTGAATTCTTTTTCAGGGAGTTTGCCTATTTCCTCTTGACTTATTTGGACTTCTGTTTTTTCTAGTTTGTTTCTTCATTTGTGTAGTATATTTCTGCCTTTTCATTTTTTTTTTAACTTATTGTGCTTGAGGTTTCCTTTCCCCAGGTTTGAATTCTTTCTTCCTTTTATTTTCTGCCCTCCTAAGGTTGGTCCAGTGGTTTGTGTAAGCTTCGTATAGGGTGAGTTTTGTGCGGAGTTTTTGTTTTTCCTCTGATGGGCAATGATGAGTGAGGTGGTAATCCCGTCTGCTGATGATTGGGTTTGTATGTTTGTTTTGTTTGTTGTTTAGGTGAGGCATCCTGCACACTGGTGCTACTGGTGGTTCGGTGATGCCAGGTCTTATATTCAGGTGGTTTCCTTTGTGCGAGTTCTCACTATTTGATACTCCCTAGGGTTAGTTCTCTGGTCGGCTAGGGTCTTGGAGTCAGTGCACCCACTCCAAAGGCAGAGGTCTTGATCTCGAGTTTTGCATGGGGTCTATATATTCTTTTCCACTCATCAGGTACTCCTGTCTACTCTCAGCTGGTGTTCTGCCTGCACTTCTGTGTCTGAAGTTGTATTCCTGATGTATCCATGGAAAGACATGTACTCCAGGTCCACCTACTCCTCCGCCATCTTGTTCTCCACTACTAGTACTTCTAACACTACAGAAGATGAGCCCCCAGATTTACCAGGTCCTCAAGTTCCCACTTCTCTGCCATGACCACCCAACAAACAACCTCCTGAAAGAGGGGCCAGGGCTCTACCAGTTGCACTTATACAGCCCCAAGCCTGGCCTTCCTAGATCCCCAGCAGAAGTGTTACTGGGGCTGAACAACTTTGAAATCAACACTCCACCCTGCCCTCACAAGGCACTGCAGTATCTCAGTGGTCAATGCCCTCTAAAAGTTGCCACTCCACCCCACATACCTGTCCCTACTATCTGACACAATGGTCAGCCCACCTTTGTCATCAAGGTCTCCATCTCCCAGGACCACTCAGCCACCTGTGAGCTGACAGATTCTCTGGCCTCTCCAATAGTGTGGGGCAGACTTCACCTACCCTGCTGCCTGATGCCCACAGTGCCCTTTGGTACAACACAGCCTTTAAACCAGAGTCACAGCCCCCAACCCTAAACCACCTGGCCCACCCACTTTATCCCCAACACAATGGACTGATGACAACTCACCAACTTCTCCACCCCTTTCACAGCACTTGCATCTTCCATCCCTCCTGCTCTCACACACTCACAGGCCACCCATGTCCCTATGGCAGCACTAAGGGACCACTGAGAGCATGAGCCACCCAAGTGGGTCTGCAGACCTTGATCAGGCTCAGCCAGAATAGGTGGGCTGATGGCATTGTGTCCCCAGGTTGGAACTGTCTCTCTGGAGTATCTTGACTCAGGATCTTCAGGGTCATTAAGGTCACTGACCTCACTGCTTTCTGTCTCTGGTTTTCTATTGCACATCCCCTCCTACATCTTCTGCAAATGCCAGGCTACCAGGATTCCCATTCAAGCAGGAAACCAACCCCACATCCAGGGACAGACACCAGCATGGATGGTGCATGGAGTCTCCGCAACTCAGTGATGAAGCTGGAGCTCCTCATCACAGGGAACTCTGGCCTGGGTGACCCAGCTTACAGGGAAGGAGGCAGCCCAGGGAAGGGTGTGCTCCTGGGAGCTCCTCCATCTGGGCTCCAAGCCAGATGGAGGACCATGGGTTCGGCTTCACAGGAAGGGGAGAGGTGACGATCATGTCTTAGGAAAGCATTTATCAGATGTGAATTGAGCAATTTAACAATTACTTGCTGAGCACCTGTAAAATGTCTTATGTTATTCAGGCTCTGGTCCAACTTTGCTTCCTCCAAACCACATTTCTTGAATTTGTAGGATATTCTTTTGGTCAAGGGTCACTTTCAGCATTTATGTCATTTACTGAGCACCAATAATATCCTAATATGGTATAAAATGTCTTTTACAAAAAATAAATAAATAAAATGTCTTTTACACCATACTAGGTAAGGACAGAAATGGTATGAACCTAATAGAAGCAGAAGATACTAAGAAGAGGTGGCAAGAATACACAGAACAACTGTACAACAAAAGATCTTCACGACCCAGATAATCACGATGGTGTGATCACTCACCTGGAGCCAGACATCCTGGAATGTGAAGTCAAGTGGGCCTTAAAAAGCCTCACTAAGAACAAAGCTAGTGGAGGTGATGGAATTCCAGTTGAGCTATTTCAAAATCTGAAAGATGATGCTATGAAAGTGCTGCACTCAATATGCCAGCAAATTTGGAAAACTCAGCAGTGGCCACAGGACTGGAAAAGGTCAGTTTTTCTTCCAATCCCAAAGAAAGGCAATCCCAACGAATGCTCAAACTACCACACAATTGCACTCATCTCACACGCTAGTAAAGTAATGCTCAAAATTCTCCAAACCAGGCTTCAGCAATACATGAACCGTGAACTTCCAGATGTTCAAGCTGGTTTTAGAAAAGGCAGAGGAAACAGAGATCAAATTGTCAACAACCCATGGATCATCGAAAAAGCAAGAGAGTTCCAGAAAAACATCTATTTCTGCTTTATTGACTATGCCAAAGCCCTTGACTGTGTGGATCACAATAAACTGTGGAAAATTCTGAAAGAGATGGGAATNAAGAATTGATGCTTTTGAACTGTGGTGTTGGAGAAGACTCTTGAGAGTCCCTTGGACTGCAAGGAGATCCAACCAGTCCATCCTAAAGGAGATCAGTCCTGGGTGTTCATTGGAAGGACTGATGCTGAAGCTGAAACACCAATACTTTGGCCACCTGATGCAAAGAGCTGACTCATTGGAAAAGACCATAATGCCAGGAGGGACTGGGGGCAGGAGGAGAAGGGGAGACAGAGGATGAGATGGCTGGATGGCATCACCGACTTGATGGACATGAGTTTGAGTGAACTCCAGGAGGTGGTGATGGACAGGGAGGCCTGGCGTGCTGCAATTCATGGGGTCACAAAGAATCGGACATGACTGAGCGACTGAACTGAACTGAGGTATGTGGTATAAAATGTCTTTTCCTTCCAGAACACTATGTTTTAACCCATTAAAAGGAAAATAGTTAATCCCTGGAGGTCCAGTCCTTTAAGCATCTGTCCATCCTAAAGATAAACAAAAATGCTGGGCTACATCATGATTTCTAGACATTTTATCCTCTGGTCTTAAACTACTGGCCTCTCTCCCCACAGGTCTCATCCATCTCAGTACTGACCTGCATATAGTAAAAAGCAATGCACAGTATATAAAAGCTTTTACCTCAAGAAGTATAAAAATTCCCCAAACTAAATAGGATTTCCAGTGACACTTTATGATTGCTTTTGTTAAAGAAGGCTCCCGTGCATCTTCCTCAGCTTTTGAAACTTCTTGATCCCAGTACCTGTGATGAGAAACAAAGTACAGTAAAAACCACTACATATTTAAAGTAATTAGCCTTCAACTAAAATAAATTTAAAAACAAAATAAAAGAACAACATGTCCACCAGACAAAACAGGGAGGTGGCAGAGTGGAGGATAAGCCTTTACTACAGGGCACTCTGTGGCTGCCCCATAAATGCTGGCTAATTGTTAACTGGGTGCCTGAAACATGAGCAGTGCAGACCCTGAAGCACTAGAAAAACAGGCCTTGAGGGAAAAGTCTCAGTCTCAGAAAACAAGTTCCTGCCAAGCCTTTGCTGGATTCACACGGTCATGAGCAGCTCAGGAGGGCAGACACCCTCCTCCAGGGACCCCGCCTCCAGGGACAGAGTTCGGCCTCCAGGGTCGTGGCTGCAGGTTCTCTCCACTTCCACAAATGCACAGAGAATACAGGCTCCCCAGGTTCCAAAGTGTGTTAAGCCCAGGGTCAGCCTGAGGGGGGTGAGTGTGCCATGTCAGGGGAAGGAGGCTCAGAAGAACCCAGAGGAAGGCAAAGCTCCCCCAACCCAACTTTAGCCCCACGTGGGAATTCTCAGTCTTCCTCCCCTTCTCCCTGATGCCTGTGCTCACCCTTGCAGCTCTTCTCCAAGGTGCTGGGAGCGATCTTCCGGAAGCACAGAGTACATGTCATCTTCTTCTAATCTTCGTTCATGACCAATTTTAAACAAGGGGGTTAGCCACCTGTTAAAAATTAAGAGAAATGGAGAGTCGCAGGTATACAAATCACACATATCTGTCTAATTAAGTCCTAATTCATGAGCTTTGTATTAACAAAAAAGAAGAAGAGAGAAATGGAAGAGTAAGAATCAATATAGTGAAAATGAGTAAACGATCCAAAGCAATCTACAGATTCAACACAATCCCTATTAAGCTACCAATGGTATTTTTCACAGAACTAGAACAAATAATTTCACAATATGTATGGAAACACAAAAGACCTCAAATAGCCAAATCAATCTTGAGAAAGAAGAATGCAACTGGAGGAATCAATGTGCCTAACTTCAGACTACACTACAAAGCTACAGTCATCAAGACAGTATGATACTGGCACAAAGACAGAAATATAGATCAATGGAACCAAATAGAAAGCCCAGAGATAAATCCATGCATCTATGGACACCTTATTTTTTACAAAGGAGCAAAAATATACAATAGAGAAAAGACAGTCTCTTCAACAAGTGGTTCTTGGAAAACTGGTAAACTACATGTAAAAGAATGAAACCAGAACACTATTGAACACCATACATAAAAATAAACTCAAAATGAATTAAAGACCTAAATGCAAGACCAGAAGGTATAAAATAATTTGGGGAAAACATAGACAGGCTCTCTTCAACATAAATCACAGCAAGATCCTCTATGACCCACCTCCCAGAATAATGGAAATAAAAATAAACAAAAAGGACCTAATTAAACTTAAAACTTTTGCACAACAAAGTAAACTTTAAGCAAGGTGAAAAGACAGCCTTCAGAATGGGATAACCCAGAGGGATGGGATGGGGAGGGAGGTGGGAGGGGGGTCCAGGATGGGGAACATATGTAAATCCATGGCTGATTCATGTCAATGTATGGCAAAAACCACTACAATATTGTAAAGTAATTAGCCTTCAACTAATAAAAATAAATGGGGAAAAAAACAGAATGGGATAAAATAATAGCAAACAAAACAACTGACAAAGAATCTCCAAAATATACAAGCAGCTCATGCAGCGCAACATCAGAAAAACTAACAACCCAATCAAAAAGTGAGCAAAAGACCAAAACAGACATTTCTCCAAAGAAGATATACAGATGATTAATAAACATGTGAAAAGATGCTTAACATTACTCATTGTTAGAGAAAGACAAATCAAAACCACAATAAGGTATAATCTCACACTGATGAGAATGGCCATCATCAAAAAAGCCTACAAACAATAAATGCTGGAGAGGGTATGGAGAAAAGGGAACCTTCTTACACTGTTGGTGGGAATGCAAACTGGTACAGCCACTATTGGAGAACAGTGTGGAGATTCCTTTAAAAACTGGAAATAGAACTGCCATACGAACCAGTAAATCCCACTGGTGGGCACACACTTCAAGGAAACCAGAACTGAAAGAGACACATGTACCCCAGTGTTCACTGAAATACTATTTACAATAGCTAGGACATGGAAGCAACCTAGATCTCCATCAGCAGATGAATGGATAAGGAAGTTGTGGTACATATACACAGTGGACTACTACTCAGCTATAAAAATGAACACATTTACGTCAGTTCTAATGAGGTAGATGAACCTGGAGCCTATTATACAGACTGAAGTAAGTCAGAAAGAGAAAGCCAAATCCTGTGTATTAACACATATATATGGAATTTAGAAAGATGGTACCAATGACCCTACATGCTTGGCAGCAAGGGAGACACAGATGTAAAAAACAGACTTTTGGACTCAGCGGGAAAAGGCAAGGGTGGGATGACATGAGAGAATAGCATTGAAACATGTATATCACCATATGTCAAATAGATGGCCAGTGCAAATTCAATGCATGAAACAAGGCATCCAAAGCCAGTGCTCTAGGACAACCCAGAGGGATAGGGTAGGAAGAGAAGTGGGAGGTGGGTTCAGGATCAGGGGGACACACATATACCTGGGGTATATACACACATATATACCTGGGGTCAATTCATGTTGATGTATGACAAAAACCATTATAATATTATAAAGTAATCATCCTCTTAAAATAATTTTAAAAATAATTAGATATGTGTTTACACACACACACATGTATGTATACGCCCTAATTCTATACAATGAATGGCCCTGGAAGTAATGACATACTGGTAGCAAAGAGCATTCCAGTCCTTAGATCTTGGGGTTCTGGTTTTTTTTAACATACACAATTACATTTTCTTTCTTGTGGTGAGAATTTTTAAGGTCTAATCTCTTGGCAGCTTGCAAATATGCATAGAGTATTATTAACTATAGTTGCCACACCAGACATTACATCTCTATAGCTTATTTATTTTATAACTGGAAATTTGTGTCTTTTGGCCTCCTTCACCCAGATATTAACTTTTTGATACCCTTCTTCCCTAAAAGGAACCAAGGCTCCTCATTGAAGAAATGGCTGGTTCCAAGGTCAGAGCAGTTTATGTAAGCACCTGATAATTAACTTTTTTGATTGTAATATAAAGGCCAGACATTAAGCTTTGGAGACATCCATGTCAAAGACAGCCACCTCCAATGAACACGTGCCAGCTACACAACTAGATAAAGAGCCAGGCCACCCCACCCATGAAGTTCCCGCTTGTAGAAAGCTCTGGTTGACCTGATAACAGACCATCTTGCTGACTGCTTGCTTCTCCCTTCTCACATTTTATTTACCACTCCTGTGTTTTAAATTCACCAATAAAGAGTGAACTTTCAAAACCCTAGACACCCCACCCTCAACCCCCAAAAGGCAGAACCCCAGGTCCAGACTTACTCGCATGCCCTCTCTCTATCCAGGACCTGTGTCACCCCAGGTGTGCCCGGTACCCTCCACAACATGTGAGTGAGTAATACACCTCATCATTTCAAAGTCCCCTGATGGTTGTTGCTGACACGTGTCTCACAATCATAAGAACCACAAGAGCCAGTCCAGCCACAACGTTGGCTCCAAAAGGAGAATTTCTGTCGGGTCTGCTCATAACTAGTATGAGCCCTGATGAGCAGAGCCCCAGACATTCCCAGCAAAAGCCTCATGGACTACAGGCTGAGACCAACAGGCAGAAAAAGAAAAGTTGTCCAAGATGGGACAACTTGCACCATAAAACTAGGAAGCCCTGAAAGAACCATGAGGATGTGTAGAAAGGACAGAGAAGCCAGGTTAAACGGCTTTTGTTAGACGAATCTGGGATACATTGAGAATCAAAACAAATAAATGGCAATGAAACACAACAGATTAAATAATAAAAGGATCCATGAATCAGTACTGCTACATAAACAGGAGAGAGGAATGCTCTTGCAAACAGACACAAACAAACATAAGGGGAGCAGTGGAATCAGAAAATTATCAATGGAAGTTAAAACCAGTGGGTGAAAGTTTGACATGGAAGATGGTATCCATATAATCTCAAATTCTCTCTCTGCAAATCACTTATTATATAGGGAAAAACAGTAACTATACACAGGATAACCCTCAAACTCTGTTCAAATCCATTAGGCATTATTTAAATGGTAATAAAATGTAGAGATAGCCCAAAGATTAACACCATTTTCCTGACCTTGCCAGGGTAAGGAAATTTTCAAGTTGGGACAATAACCTGTGAAACCAGAGACCACATTTCTTTTTTTCCATTATTCCTAGGAAAATATTTGTTCAAAGTTGATGCTCAAGAATTGTTTATTGAATGTATGAATGTCCATGAATCATTAAAGAAGCAATAAGAGACTGAGCTTCAGCTTTTGCAAACTCTGGTAGGCCAGCACCTCCAAAGAACCCCAATCCAGGACTCAGAAAACTGGATCCTAACCCCAACAATGACACTGAGGACCCAGGGCCTCAGCTGTGCCTACCCGCTCCACTTCTCCACTCCAGGTCAGCATCTCAGTGATGCTTAGTATGCCTTACTATGTCCAATTTCCTTCCAAAACAAAAGTATAAGTCTGTGAGCTTTACCACTAAACAGGTTTGAAACATGTTAGGCCATTTATGCTACAGTCGTTCCCCACAGAAAACACTCAGGGAATTACCACTGGAACATGCCCAGATGATGATACTCTGCCCCCACACTAGCACAGGATGAAAAGAGTTCTGAAAATTGTTTGCAAAATAACATGAATGTACTTAACAACACTAAACTATATGCTTTAAAATGGCCAAGATGGTAAATTTTATGTTGTGTGCATTTTCCACAATTTTTAAAAATGTAATGAGAACAAATTGCACATGATGCACCTCATTTGGAAATCTTGTGTTAGAGTCTAGACTTTATCACTTTCTGGTTGTATGGCCATGAACTAGCCACATAATGTCTCAGTATTAGCCTCTGGAAAATGAGGAGAACATGTGGAGACAACACCTCCCAAGGCTGCTGAGGGGATCACCTGAGAAGACAGTGTTGCTCTAAACAGGACAACATCTCACCAGACAAAGAGCAGCTGTCACTATGACAGAGATCCTGAGTAATCCCATTGGGCCCCAGTAGAAAACCTCTGATAATTGACAGAGGCAATTAAAATGGCAGAGCCCGACAGGAAGAACAAAGATGCTGCTTCTTTCCTGACAAAGACTCAGCAGTGAAAAACCATGGACTCTTGTTTAACAGACCTCCCAACTTCCTTTTCCATCTATGATAGTGATCTCTTTCCCTTGCCCTTTGGGGACTTGCATGTGAATCTCCACAATTGTAAACCTCAAACTACAATGCTATGATGATCCCATAAGCCTATCTCTTCTGGAGAAATATCTGATACCCTATTTGTTTCATGTCAACAGAGAGAAAGGGGGGGTCAACATGATCAGGGGACCCCTGGAAGACTCAGAAAGGCAACTTATTCCCTTGACACATCTGAATAGATTTCTAGTTGACACTTCTCAGGCTGATGAAAGGCAGGACTATAAAGATTTTTTTAAAAAATCAAGAAAAAGCTACAAGAGATAAATTTGTTAGGCAGTTTAGGTTGCCAGAAGGACGCACCACACCTTTGGGTGTTCTACATCTTGCTTGAGGCTGTAGTTATTGTATAAAATTACCAAATCTCATCAAACTAAAGGCTTACAGGGAACAGGTCAAGGCCAAAGAGCCCTGCAGAGCTCACCCAGCCTCAGTCTACAACATGTGGATCTCTGACTGTTAATGAAGAATAAGAAGTGGTATTCTGAAAATGGTGCAAAGAATCCTAGTTTGAAATTAGACATTTCTATGCATTCACAATCGTTCGTTACTGATGGCCTAACAGGACCAACCTCCCTAAACTATCCCATCGCTTGGCCAGTTCACATCCTCCTCATGTCATCAGCTTCTCTGACAAGAATCTCTGGAGAGCCTTACTTGACACCAGTGGCAGTTTCCATATCCACATTCATTTTGCAAAGGGACTGAGACGTGGCCGGTGTCAGTGAACCAAGGATGTAACCACTCCCTGATGGGCCAAATGCATCTGGCCCAAGACCCTGCTCCACCCTTATCTCTGGGGACACTCACCCCAAACTGCTGGTCTCTGGGATGAGGGTGGAGAGAAATGCAGAGCACACCCCAGAGGGCTGCAGTGCAGGACAGCAGGGACATTGCAAGGGAGAGTCTCAGCAGACTAGATATGGTTCAAAAATTGTGCCACTCATTTCCAATAATAGGAAAAAGGAAGAATCATTCAATAAACCATGATAGGAATATGGGCTGTTTGGGGAAATGGGGCCTATCTTATACCAAATATTTAAAAAGAAATTCTAGTTGTCTTTATTGTTAGAAATTAAATAAGAAAAGAGAGCCAAAATAGAATGCTTACACAGATTTAGAGGATGCTAGGATTTTAAATATGCCAGCAAATTTGGAAAACTCAGCAGTGGCCACAGGATTGTAAAAGGTCAGTTTTCATTCCAATCCCAAAGAAAGGCAATCCTAACGAATGCTCAAACTACCACACAATTGCACTCATCTCACACACTAGTAAAGTAATGCTCAAAATTCTCCAAGCCAGGCTTCAGCAATACGTGAATCATGAAGTTAAAAGATGCTTACTCCTTGGAAGGAAAGTTATGACCAACCTAGATAGCATATTAAAAAGCAGAGACATTGCTTTGCCAACAAAGGTCAAGGCTATAGTTTTTCCAGTGGTCATGTATGGATGTGAGAGTTGGACTGTGAAGAAAGCTGAGTGCCAAAGAATTGATGCTTTTGAACTGTGGTGTTGGAGAAGACTCTTGAGAGTCCCTTAGACTGCAAGGGGATCCAACCAGTCCATCCTAAAGGAGATCAGTCCTGGGTGTTCATTGGAAGGACTGATGCTGAAGCTGAAACTCCAATACTTTGGCCACCTCATGCGAAGAGTTGACTCATTGGAAAAGACCCTGATGCTGGGAGGGATTGGGGGCAGGAGGAGAAGGGGACGACAGAGGATGAGACGGCTGGATGGCATCACTGACTCGATGGACATGAGTTTGAGTGAACTCCGAGAGTTGGTGATGGACAGGGAGGCCTGGCGTGCTGCAATTCATGGGGTCGCAAAGAGTCGGACACGACTGAGTGACTGAACTGAACTGAGGATTTTAAAAAGACATTACGAAAGCAATGGGAGAAACCAGAAAGAAAAGTTCAATATAATTATATCTAATTTAAAACCTCGAAAGAACAAATGAAAATCTGAAGAAGTATTATATGCACTATTGCAAATTATTCAAATATAAAAATGCCTCATGGGAAAAATTGTCTACAAAGAGACAATTCAAAGAAAGACAAATAGTCAATAGACATAAAGTTACAACTCTAAAGATAAAATAAATTCTTATTAAAACTGATATTGGACTTCCCTGATGGTCCAGTAGTTAAGAATCCATCTGCTACTGCAGGGGACACAGGTTTGATTCCTGGTTCAGGAAGATTCCATGTGGCATGGAGCAACTAAGCCCATGAGCCAAAACTACTGAGGCCCACTCACCCTGGAGCCTGTGCTCCATAACAAGAGAAGTCATCTCAATGAGAAGCCCATGCACCACAACTAGAGAGTAGCCGCCAGTCACCACACAACTAGAGAAAAGCACGAGAGCAGCAATGATGACCCAGTGTGGACAATAATAAATAAATGTTTGATATTTTTAACCTCAGTCCTATAAAAAATGTAATTCAGGTACTCACAAATAGCAATGAAATACACACACAAGCAGTTTTTAAGTGGGCAAACCTGATGAAACAGAATTCAGATTTCACCAGTTATTCTACTTCTAAGAAACAGCCAAATTATTGAGAAGTGTACATGGCTAATAGAAATAAACTTTTATTCATTTTTTCTTCTTTTGTAGTTTTAATTTTATTACAAAAAATAGTAAAACATATATCATTTTCTAAAATCCACAATAATTACGTATAGCCATAATGCATGCCTTTTCTTTGATCCTAAGTCCCATCTGTGCTTTGAAAACACTAAACTCCAGAGAGATCATTTGTATAAAGACAATAAGCTAGTTACTGGCATCATTTACAAGTTTAGAAAAGCAAGTGAAATGTGGGAAGAAAAGCAAACACCCAATGAGAAGATGGGAACTCAATTTTTCTCTACAAGGCAGACTTTGTCTCTGGGTAGCACTTCCTGCCTGGGCTCATGTCAGCTTTCCCCAGGGCAGCGAGTGGAGAACACAAGGAAATCACGAGGGTACCTCAGACTTTCCGTGCAGGCTGGAAGTTGTGGTCAACAACTAACTTCACAGAGTCTGGACCCCTTTTAAAAGTTAACATTGAAGTAATAATGCCAGTGAAAGGGGTGGCTGAAGGCAGGAGCCAGTCTCAACCTTCCATCAGAATCACCTGGAGCTTGTTTAACCCCCACCCTCAGAATTTCTAACTTTACACAATTGGTCTAGAAAGAGTGCAGGGGAATTTGCATTTCTAACAAACTCCCAGGTGGTGAGGATGAGCATGTCTGAAAGCTATACTCTGAGAACAGTCACCCTAAAGTTTGATTATAGAGATGTTTCGCATGCATCATCTCCAACAGCAAGAACTTTAAGAACTTCCCTTGAGAGACTCGTGCCAATAAGTGTTTGGAATCAGCTTCTCTGTGCATTTACAAACAAGTACACAAATAGAACCTACTCGATACAGCAGTTACATACACAGGGAGCCAGACTGCCTGGTTTGGGATCCAACTCTTTCACTTTCTAGCTGTGTGCTGGTAGACAACTCACTCAACCTCTCTGCTTCAGAAACTTCAAGTGTGAAATAAGAGGTAATAGCTTCTCTCCCTCCAGCAGGAAATTTGGAAATGCGTGTCTACCAAAATCAATGAGAAGTCCTTATCTTCCCATTTCCACACACACATTTTGAAAATCCACAGACAGAAGGTGCCTGAAGCTTGCTTGCTCTGCCTTAAGCAGATGTTTGACAGTTTCAGTACTATTTAGAGTAACCACACCCACATTCCTTCTTCTAAGCCCCTCTTTCCTTAAGGGACACCAAATGGCCGAGATGTAGCTACACACTGAACACACCACCATCAGAACAAGCACAGGCGCTCCCGTTCCCTGGGATCCCCTAGGCTGTCCCATAAAAGAAGTATCAGACTTTGTGGAAAAGATGAATGGGTTAGGTTCCAGAAACAAAAGACCTAATAATCACCCAAGTGTGATTAAAATCCAGAGGTTCAGACTTGCCTAGTTAGTAGGTCCCAGCTATTAGATGAAGACTTCAGCTAAGAGCATCAGCTCTCTGCAGCGTTTTTCATTGGTGTTTCCTCCCAGTTCAGGGACCCTTCAGTGGTTTCAGGACCAAATGACTCCTGGGAAGGACCACCTGCATCAAGCCCAATACTGCTTCTTTGAGCTAGAGATCTGCAGAAGACCCCACAGGTTTCAGGGACCACATCCCCAGGGTTTGGTCCTCAGAGGTGGAAGTAGAGATAATCACAACAGGGAAAGGGGCTGGTTAAATACATACTCCAGTCCTGGCTCTGTGTCCCAGGTAAAAGCAAAACATGTTCAAGAATAGTGTCCCCATTCATTACATTAAAAACAAGTGTTTTTACACACATGAAACTTGTCACAGACAGATACCAGGAAATGCAGTGAGAGATGTACAGGGAGAGAGGGAGGGGAGAGAGAGACATTGTCAGAGACACAGTGACGAGGCAGCCGTGCAGGCGGAACTCAGGTTTCATCTAAGGAATATGGGGAAAGTGGGGACGTTCTTGGAAGATGACAACGGTGCAGGGCACTAACTGAATAAAGGAAGCTGTTCATAAACTGCTTGCTTAGGGGAAAAATAAGGGTACCGCTTTAGCTCAGAACTGCGAATTCCTAAGCAATACTGGGGAAGCCGGCTAAGGATGGAGTGTGGGTGTGTGGTATTGGGTTTGGGGGTGGGGGGCGGGGAGTGGTCCAGTCGTTCTCCCGTTTGGCGGGAGACTCCCCTTGGGCAGCCTGGGTTCTCAGCTTCCCTGTCTCCTGCTTCACCCGCCGCCCCTCCTGCTTCACCCGCTTCCCGTCCTACTAGGGCCTAAGGAGTCTGGCAGCGGGGCAGCGAGCCACAAGTCAGGGAACCCTGCCAGGAGTTCCCTCTCCCGGGCTCTGTTCCCTTCGCCAGACGCCAGGGACCACGTGGCCCCACGCGCTACAAGCAGCCAGGTGCCCAGGGCGCCAGCGGGAAGCGCTCCCTCCCCCCGACCAGCCCCCTCCTCGGCCCCCAAAAGCGCCAGCGGCGGCGTCAGGCACCCGCCCCGCGACGGCGGAGGTGTCACAGCCCCGGCGGGCTCTCACCAGAAGAACAGGCGCGAGCAGAAGTTCGCGTCCTGCAGCGGGTTGGGCTTCCGCATCTTGCCGGCGGGGGCGATCGCGGGCCGGGGTCGCGCTGCTCTGGTGATGGAGCTGCTCCTGGAGGCGCAGGCGGGGAGGCTGGAGGCTCAGACACAGCGCGGGCCTCTCTTAGGGAGACAGAACCACCGGCTCTGGGAGTGGAGCACCGGGGGGCCGCCCGCTCCGCGCCTCTGCCTCTGGGGCCTGGAGTCGGGAGCGGTGGAGGCAGGACCACGGGGCGGCCGGGCGGACTCTGCCGGGGGCCGCACAGGTGTGAGGCGAGACTGCAGGTGTGAGGCGAGACTGCAGGCGCGCTTGATGGAGCCAGTTAGGGAAACTGCGGCACCCAAGGCACCGGGCTGCAAATTCTACCAAAGGGCGCACTCTGAGCCCGGGCCCCCACCCAGAAGACGGAGAGGGTGGGGCGGGCTGCATCAGAAACGCTCCCTCAGCTGTGGTGAAGACCAGGAGAAAGCTGGCACATGGAGATAGCAGCCCGCCCTCTGGGCACTCTGCCCTCATCAGGACCAAACAAGGGTGCTACAGGAGTGTGTCCAGCTGTAATGGAGCAAGGACCCTGTGGGACC